ATAATATTTCCATTATTTTATATTTTAAAAACTGAAATCAGTATCCATGACAACAAATTTTAATAACCTCTACAGGCCCCCAGGACCATATACAGTTGATATGAGAGCAGACTGAAGATCTCTTTTAACTTTTTTTTTTGACAAATTGAATTAGCCATAATGTGTAACAACAGGTGCAACTGAGAACTCAAGGTTCAAACAATTTGTCAACTAACGTTAGTTTTGCCTGTGCTTTTCCTACAAATGCTTCAATAAATGCTATTTTAAGATTGCTAAAGAAAAATGTTGCGTGATCTTTTTGAATTAAAGATATTAGTCTTGTCAGTCTTTGTCTTCCTCAGTAAAATTATAGAGTTTGTGCTAAACAATCACTGTTAAAGTAGATTTTCAATTTCACAGCAATGTGAACCAAGTCAAATTTTGGTTGTTCTTCAATAACAGATGAAATATTTATTGCCCATGGGTTTTTTAGACAAAAATATATCAAGGCGTAAAGCCTTGAAAGTGACTGAGATTCTTCAAAGTTGATACTATTGCCATGGAGACAGCCGTCCACAAGTGACCACTCTTAGCTAAATGAGAAGTTTGCAGCAATATTGCAGCAAATTTGCTGCACACTAAGGTTTGAGGCAACCAGTTTGCAGTAGTTTGTTGGAAAAAATTCTATTGCTGCTAAATTGCAGCTAATTTGCAGAATATTCTGAAGTTTGCAGCAGGTTTTTGAGAAAGATTTTATGTTCTAGCAAATTTGGAAGAAATCAGCAGCAAATTTTGCAGCAAATTTTCAAGAACATCTTCAGTTTTCAGTAAGTTAGCAAAAAATTACTGATGTGGCAAATTTGCAGAAAATTCACAGCAAATTCGCAGTGAATTTGTAGCAAATATGCGAGAGAGTTTGAAGCAGGCCTGATATTTTGCTAAGAGCACAGGTAACCTCTGGTGGGAAAAACAAACAAACAAACAAAACTTGCAGAAATCATCCATCACAGACTCTTTTCATTGAAACCATCTAAAGTACTTTTGTTCCTTGATTTATCAGCCTGGAAAGGTTTTAATGTAAGAATAAAAAAGTTTGAAGTGTCAAATAATTTTGGTGTTAAATCATACTGACGCATGCACAAGCGAGGATCCAGAGATATTTTCTGACAGTCTTCCAAATTATTATTCTTGATCCATTCTCCATTTTTGACCGTCTTCCGACAGAAAAAATAAGATACCAGCCATTGTAAACATTAAAATCTAACCGTCTTCTGGAAGACCCAGAAGACGGCCTATATCCGCCCCTGATGTATGACTTGTCAAATTATGCTAAAGACCACATCACCTTGCTATAATGAGTCATGTTTTCAAGCAAGTTGGTTCTTTACAATTTGTGTCATGTCAGACTGATGTAGCTTGTTCACACAAGAGATACTTTAAACCAATTTTCATCAAGGCATTGATAGTCCTGTTTTCAGTAAATTTGGTTTTTCCTAACTTGGTACAATCTTTGTCTAAAAAGCAAATTGCACACAAGGGGTACTTTAAACCAGGTATGTAAATCGCCCTTATCAACAGACCATTAAATGCTGTGTTTCTAAATTGCCGATATAGATGCTTCTCTATTATCTGGCACAATCCAACTTGGTTTTTTTAACTCTGCCAAATTGTAGGTGGACTAGAATACAGCAATCACTCTCCCACTTGAAGAAACATTAAATCAGTACCTTGGAGTAGTATCCTTTGGCTAAAGAAAGGAAAAATGTACGCCAGACTTCACTATTGACGTGAGAAACCCGATTTTTATTTGATCCGATTGAGATGTCTGAGCAGTTTGGTGTATAGAGTTAGAGATAGTGGTGCAGTATTAGAGTAGTGGTAATTAAGTCAAGTGAAGATACTCAATCTGGCCTAGTCTGACGTAAGCCTTGAGTATGAAATGATCCTAAAGATATGAACTTTTTCTGGGGAAATACAGCATTCTGGGATTTTTAATTCAATTTTAATAGGACCTAAGATGGCGCTAAACACCGAGGTGATTAGTTGTTTTGCAACGTGATTTAAAAAAAATACAGGCTCATGTCTGATCTTATACCCCGTTCACACTACGCTCAGTTATCCGGTTAAGTTGTGGATAAGGTCACAATTCGAATAAATGCAGTGGTGTGAACGCAAGAGGATTTTGAAAATGCGCATTTTCAAAATCCTGCAAGCGAGGTGGATTTCTAAGCGCGATCCGGATAACTTACCGGAATCGACACCTGTACAGATCTTACTGCGCATGTGTGCAGATAAGTGCGGGTATCTATGAACGCTGGTTTATTACTTTAGCGATTGCACCAAACGTATTTGGCGGTCACCACTCACTACAACAGGAGGAAACAAACTTTTTTTGCCACCTTATACTTCTCAAGAATGCTGGAATGTCTTTTGAGTTGCATTTGTCGTCACAAATTTTTGTTGATATTTTAAGATTTCATGTGCGGCGCATGCGCGAGTGTTCAAAACAGGAAGTTTAACCTGAAATTTTCAACGTGGGATTCGGATTCGCTTAGCGAGTGTGAACGCAATACCGAATCGGATTCCTTACGAAAAATCCGAATTATAGAAATGCGCATTTTGGCAACTGTGGTGTGAACGGGGTAATAGAGAGTCTGACTGACTTGGCCAGTCTATAGGAGTTTTCTTAGATTATAAAAATGGAGTCTGTTGCAGATCAACAAATCTCTAAAAAAATAAACAGTATAAAACCATGTTGGTTTAATTATATTTTCCATGAAAAACTTCATTTGCTTATATCCTAATACATATTATATATGTTTCACAAAATTTGATAGCTCTCCATAACTTTGGTTAAAGTTAGACCCATGTCAGGTCTAAATGTGTCCAGTCTGAACAGGTTGTACTCTCATTGCACTCTAGGGCAAGTTCACACTTATTTGACCTCAATCAACTTGACTAATTGTAATGAAGCCATTATCTTAAGTTATCTCTAGTTGATTATGATTAACAGGTTTAACTAATTGAAATTAAGCCATAATAATTGTCTCGTTTTGCTTAAAGCTAAAGTGTCTGTATTTGAACTTATCATTGCCTCTCCCCTTGATTTCAATTGGCATTTCAACAGCATTATTGGGATTGAATTATTGTAATCAAGTTAATTGATATCATATCGGAACCGTAGTTCTTACATTGATTATTACTTTGAGATGTAAACAGGTTAAAGTAATTGTAATTGAAACATTATTTTATTTTTTAAAGTTATCTTTAAATTAGCTGGGTAGCATAGTGCCCTAGTAGATCTTTTGACAGCTCTGGCAACGTCATTGGGATCGTTGGTGAATCGGTCTGTTCAGGTCTAGTCTGAATGGTAACTCAGAACTTTATGTGCTATTAGCGAACAGTTTGGCTTAATTAGATTTTGTCTAAAAAAGCTATTAGAAGCTAAGAGCAAATTAATCTGTATATAAATCAAACGGGGAGCGGGGAGTATCATTTAGATAGACAAGTACTTTATGATATTTATTCTTGCTGTTTTTAAGGACAACATACCCTGAAGGTTTCAGTATTGATGGCAGACTTCTCACAATATTTTGAGGACTTGTTTTTGCCAGGGGAGAAACAGACAGCTTATATAATTGCATTTTTAGGACATGCAATCCCCAGTAGGTACTATATGTACATTATTTAAGCAGCATCGTGGGGTGGGATGGGGGGGGGGGTAGAGGGGAAAAATATTCCCAAGAGAATACGAGTTAGCAGGTGCCCTCTAGCAGACAGCCAGATGAATTCCACAGGGATTTGAATGTCTGATACAATGTATGTGACTAAGGATTTCTCTCTCTAGTTCAGTCCAATATATACTGCACTGTTTGATGATCAAAATTGATACCAGTGCAGTACACTTAACTCTTAAAAGGAAGAGTGAAATTATGCAATTTAAAGAATATAAATATTTATATACTGTTTTGTGCTCAAACACGCCCATGCACTTATGGGTGGGTTAATTAGTATGGATAGTGTACAATGTTAGCACTTTCTCCATGCCAGATGGTAGGAAAATTGAAGCAAGGTCTGTAATAATTGTGTAAATTCGATCAGTTTCTGCCCACTGCTTTTGCTTTGGGACAGGAGATTAATTTGAGGCCCTGGTGGCTCAAAGGGCCAAATTTGCTAAAAAAAAAAAAAAAAGAAAAAAAGAAAAAATGGCACAGGGTGTGTGATATTATAATGGAAATTATTATGTTGAACAATGAAGTGGAATGTATGTGAAAGACAAAGGTTTTATGTAGAATGCTGTAGTTGAGATCACACTGACTGTCACAGCAGTAATGTAGTGGTATGTTTAAACTTGTGACTGAGCTGCCGCTTCACAGTTTGAAATTGTTAATTTGAGCCCATAATATTTTATTTTGATATATGAACCTAGTCTCCATAAAACTTTCCCATTTGAACTGTGTTTTACTCGTCTTATGCATATTGGTAGCAAGTTAGTTCAACCCATCATAAATAGAAACACATCTTTAGCATACTGGTACCAAGTTAGGTCAGCCCATCATAAATAGAAACACATCTTCAGCATACTGGTACAGTACCAAGCTAATTCAACCCATCATAATTAGAAACACGACTACAACATACTAGCAAATGTTAAATTCACATGTGGTAATATGCCAGAGGGAAATTGTAACTAAAAACTAGAAATAGAACAGAGTTACCTAAGTTACACTTGTTACCACAGGCAAAACTGCTTGCTTAGATCTTTAACCAGATATTCAGACAGCAAACTTCTGGGATGAAATGAAACACATGCATTTACTGTTGTATGTGTGTTTATTAGCTTCTTTTTATAGTGGTAGTAATGTATGCTGTACAGTGTATTGTTATATAATAGTAAATACTTATGAAATATTTATGTACTATAACTGATTTCAGTGGATCATCTATTTAATTACTGGGGAGCAAAATGAATTATTTAATTAATTTTTTTTTACTTAAACATTTATTGATTTATTTTGCAGTAATGAGAAGACACATTGATGGTTTAGAATCCACTGTTTGTTTGTCTAGAACTGAAAACAGACTACTATAAACAAAAGGTAAGTAAATAAACAATTGTTCAATCGAATAGTAGTAGTAGTAATAGTACAAGTATGAGCAACAGCTTGTAGCAGTAGCACTTAGTGGTAGCACCTAAATGTAGTACATACTGCTGGTATAAGCAGCAGCAGTAGTGTAAGTACATGTAAACAGTTTCTGACAGTAGCAATAAGGGACCCAGAGCTGCCTTAGAAAGTGAAATAACAGTGCAATCAATCTACTTAATCTGATGAGGAGTTAATAGAACAGGATGAAGAAGTGTAATCAGTCTAGTTTATATATATATATATATAAAAGATATCCAAAACAGTTCTATTGTATAAAAGTTACCAATTTTTTGCCAATTATTGTTTTTAAAGTTACAGTACTAATTTTAGTGTTGTTGTTGTTGTTGTTGTTATTATTATTATTATTATTTAAGAGGACCTGAAATGGGCTTCTCATAATTTATTTTGGGTCAAAAGGACCATTCAGAATGAGTCAGTTTGACCTAGCTAGGTTGCCTTAACTCCATGAGGAATCTCACTGCAATCAGTTTAACACACCTCAATAAGCAGCAAGGGGGTAATTAACTTTTGTGTGCACTCGGCTTCCAGGATCCAATGCTGAACTGATTCTGAAGGGCCCCAAAAAGACTGACAATTTGGTATTTTAAGTTAAGACCAGCTTTAAGTCCTAAATTAAATTTCACGTGAAAGGAATTCTTGAACTTATTTCATGAGGTACACTAGTTGATATCATATGGAAGAAACCATCCAAGCATGAGGTATCCACAGGAGCAGATCCAGAGATATTTTCTGACAGTCTCCCATTTGTCTTTCTTGATCCATCCTCTATTTTTTTTTTACCATCTTCTGACAGAAAAAAAATTAGGTGCCTGTCATTGTAAACTTGAAAAATTCTGACCGTCTTTTGGAAGGGCCAGAAGATGGCTTCTGTTCGCCCCTGAGAAAACAAGGCACAAGGCACCCAATGCAAGAATAAACGAGGTACAAGGTGTATATATTCCACATGTGATATATATATATACCAAACAATGGAGGTCAAAAAAGAGTGACAGATTGTGACTCATGGTTGCTAATTTGAAAGACATTTTCTTCACTCATGTAAAAAAAAATTGCCCAGTAGTCAGAAATCATTCCAGTAAGGAATAAACATGTTTTTCTTTGAGTGTGTGGGGTCTGGGATAGGTGTTTTTATTTATGTTTTTCTTTTGGGTATTTATTTGGCCTTCTCATTTGTCTTGCTGTCTGTGTTTGTTTTTTATCGTTGATTTGGGAAAGGTGGTAAGAAAAAAACACAGAATAAATGTGAGCTATAAATAATATCTTGCTCAAGGTACTTGTAATACATACTCCTAAGAAAGATGAGACAGAAAAATCTTGTCATAGTGCCAAAGGTTCAGGGATTGCAAACTTAGTGAATTTGTGCCATTTTTTCCAACAGAGAGGTGTATAAGTATATAATACCAATCCTATGTGTGTGTGTGTGTGCGTGTGCATGCATTTGTGTGTGTGTATTTATAAACAATTTTATATTTATCATAACAATAAAAATAATGCATGAAGTTTGCCATCCGGGTCTTGCACAATTCATGCATATTATATCATGTGAAAATGTGGTTATGATAAACATTAATGGGGCAATTTGCTCTTTCTTTCATTTGAATATTTTAATATTAATATTATTTTGATATTTCAAAATATTGAATATCTCATTAAATATTGGGTCAAATGACATCCCTTTCATTCTCACGGGAGAAACTGCGTAACACTTTCAAAATATTGGATATCTCATATTCCAAAATATTGAATATCTCATTAAATATTGGGTCAAATGTAACCCCTTTTGTTCTCACGGGAGAGCCTGCATAACACTAGCTTGACATCAAGCAGTGCACAAGTCTTTAGCTTGTCCAAATGATTTAGCAATTTTGAAGCACGTACAGGCAAATTAGTTTTGTGAGAAGTCGAGTGTTTCAACTGTTCATTGAGTTATTCACAGGTGTTAAGTTTGTCCAACAGAGCTTTCTGTCTCTTCTGATAGCTTCCTGTCTCTCCTGAGGCAAGTTGTAGCGTTTTGCAAGATCACACAGTTAACTGGTAGGACTGTTTTATCATATCAAGGTCATCGAGTTTACAGGTAGGACTGTTTTATCATATCAAGGTCATCGAGTTTACAGGTAGGACTGTTTTATCATATCAAGGTCATCGAGTTTACAGGTAGGACTGTTTTATCATGTCAAGGTCATCGAGTTTACAGGTAGGACTGTTTTATCATATGGGTACCATGAGCAGCAATATTGTTTGAAGGAGTTTGCAAGAAGCATTTGTATTGTTGCTAGTCTGCCACAGATTTGCAAGAACATATTAAGTTTGCAGTAGGTTTGCAAAATAGATATTTATGTTCTTGCAAATTTGCTGCAGATATGCTGCAAACTCATAGTGAATTGACATCAAATTAGTGGCAAATTTGTAGCAAATTTGCAGCAGATTTGCAAGAGAGTTTGCATCAGGCCTGATATCTTGATATGGGTACCCTCAGCAAAATATCAGGCCTGCTGCATTTTCGCAGCAAATTTGCTGCAAGATTGCTGCAAACTGCAATTTTTTCTTGCAAATTTGCAGAAAATGTGCTGCAATATGGCTGCATGCAAATTAACAACAAAGTTTTTCTTGCAAACTTGTAGCTGTAAAATTTTCATTTTGCAAAGGGCAACTTCTTTGAACATGTAGCATCATAATTCATATGCTGACACCCCCATAAAATACTACAGATTATTTTACATGGTTTTACTCCTGACCCATCTCGTGTGAGGGCGCAGCCAGCTTCGCCGTTTCCTTCGCCATTTTATAGTTACTGCTTCTCCTCCTAGACAAGTCGGGCCTGTCCACCCATCTCTTGGATTTAGGTCATACATAATCTCATTTCCTTCCGCGTAAATTTTGGGCTTTGTCGGTGCATGGCTCATCGCAATGCACTTTTGTCCAAAAATTGCAATTTTAAATGCTAAATATCTCCCAAACTGAAGGAATTGTGAGGACAATTTCTACAGATGGCTGACCGAAAGTCACACATGGAGATTTCAAATATGCCCTTGGATTTGGCCTTTATTTCAAGGTCAAACAGGCCAAAATTTTCTAAAAATGGGAAATTTTTTGCAAAATAATTTTTTATTTGTGTTAGTTTTCAGAAACTACACAGACCTAACCTAAAATTATATGGGCAGTTACACTTATGGTCATCTTTCGTCTTCATGAGTTTGGGGTCAATCGGTGCATTTTCACAGGGTAAGCAGCCGTTAGATGCCAAAACTGAAAATTCTCTCTAATTCTAGAACTGTAAATGCTAGAGACCTCTTGTTTTTGCATTTTGTAGAGCTTGTCAACACTGGAATTAAAGTGGTGTCCATTTTTTTGTTTTCCATAGTTTACGAGTTGCGCTATATCAAAGAGTATAACATTGCAATATTCAGTGGTGAAAATAAAATGTGAATAACTCCAAAATTAACAGAGATACGCCATTAGTTACTATTGAACTTGAATAGGAAGTAGTATATTGGAAATCTAACAGTGACCTTGAAATTGCCTTTAACCTACTTTTTATCATAAACTGAACTTTGCAACTTTTCCTTCCCTTATATCTCCAAAACTAGCAGAGATGTGTCCATAGATACTACTGAACTTGGATAGGAAGTCATATATTGACAGTCTTCCTGTGACCTTGAATTTAACCTTTGACCTACTTTTTGCCATGAACCCACTTCACAAATTTGGATTAAACCTTTTACTTCTCCCCATGCTTTAGTTATAAATTGTAATTTTCAACAAAAAATTGAGAACTCTTGTTTACTTCATTTTGTAGAGCTAGACTAAGTCAAGCACAACGTACTGGAGGTGGTGTCCGTTTTTTTTTTGTGTGTGTTTTCCTTACGATTGCGCTTACTCCAGCTGGTGGTACAATATCCAGAGGCGGTATCACCTCTCTGATCCTCTATTTAAAATGCTGAAGATATCCTGAATTCTATTAGTTTTAATGAAATAATGTGTTCCTAAATGCCCTTGCCTTAGAGAGAGAGAGCCATGCAATGAATAAGAAGTATACATGCATGTTGGAGCATGGTGCGACATGGCGAAATCGTGGGGCACCCAGTAGGTGTTTTCAGCACAGGTTAACAAGAAACAACGAGATTGATATTGGGAGAATTAAGTACACCATTGTACTCTCACTGATACCAATTACGTTCTCATGAGAATTGAAAGAGCAAAATACATGGTAGCCAAGTAGGATATAATGGGGAACTAAGTGCAGGGATATATACCTATATTAATTATAATGAATAACACAATTATTTTCCTGTGATGCTACATCATATGTCTTCATTTATTGAAAAAATCATAAACATATATTTGAACGTGTTTCATGGTTGACTTTATAAATGGGACTCGGTATGCCCCAGAGCTCAGAAATTGATTCAAGTTTACTTATGAAAGTCTACACAAAAATAAAACATGGATCTGTAAAATGCATTGTNGTTCTATCCTATATAAAAAAGCACAAAAAATCGTGAATAGTGCAACACAGAAAATTATTTGTAAGATTCCAGATTAATGTTTCTGAAAGAATGATAATCTTTCCCCATTGAAAAGAGTCACTGCTGTAAGTCATCGTATTTTCTGGTATTGGTTTCATCTTCCTCTGTGCCTTTCATGGTAAGGAGGTTACCCACCATTTAATGTTTATAAGTAAATTCACTTTATATACAATTATATATATATATATATATATATATAACATTTCAAACTTGCAATATGCATACATTTTATCATTGGGAACTTATTGAAGAAAACTGAGATAGTGCAACTGTGGTTTTGGCAACTCCATTTTCTCTTTCCCACAAAGTGGTACTGGAGTACCTATTTTACCTACATGATAAATACATATACATATTTTTTTCTGTGCTGCTGCAAGCAATTAGCTTTACCTAATTAAGGCATTTAATCACCATTTCTATGACATAGTTGTTGAAGTTTATTAAATCCTTTTTATCTTATCTTGGAAAAGAACTTTGACAATACAATATTCCAGCTTTGATGTTTTATCGGCCCAGGCAATAATGAAGATTGTTCTTGATTACGATAGAAAAACAAATCGTGAACCTTTTTTCTTGTAATTTTGCCGATATGAACACTTCTTTGTTAATTGCTCATTTTGATGTAAGTTTCATGGCCTCTTAGGTAATAATGTAGAGCAAGGAAGTGAGTCCTAGGCTATCTCTACTTCCTTGTGTAAAGTGATAAGAAACTCTTATTACAGCTATAATATACTCAGATTGATTTTTTTTATCGGGGTACTTAAGGATTATAGTCGGTGATATTAGATGAATTAAAGCTATTTCATTTCTTAGTCAGTATCTAGCTTTTTGATTGATTCTGGAAAAATATTCCTGCATTAGAATCATTTTTAGGGTTGGGGTATTTTATATTAAACTTTAAAAATGTGTTTCAAGTGAGCAATTTGTAGAGAATGACATATAAGATTTTAAAGATTGTTTTACAGGTCTAAGCATTTTGGAATGTGATCTCTTATTATTTCCTCCCAACCAATTCTGTAGCTCACTTGCTTGAATCAGGGCAACACTTTCCAGTGCAAGCTCATACTTATATTTTTTTCTCAAAGAACCAAAAACTTTTTCTTCCTCTGGACTTCCACCATCATGTTTCATAAAAGAGTAATGATAGGTAAATAACAAGGAGATTTATGAATAACAGATACCAATGACTTAATTGTCCTCAGAACAGGTGTGTTCCCATTTGATTTAGGAACCATCCTAGTTAAGGTATGGAAAGACTGCTGAAAAACAAGTAAATCTTCCACAAATCTGACGCATGTTTGTTTTACACTGTACCTGTATATGGGTGGTCTGGCAGAGAGGAATCACACACACGCACACACACACATTTCTCTCTCTCTCTCTCTCTCTCTCTCTCTATATATATATATATTTTTTTTTTTTTTCTACTGGTATGTAAACCTCTGATGATTTTTCATGCTGTGAAAATGAAAGTTAAGGCCAATGTGTTGTATTTTTTTTCCTTTTGAGGGCAGAGAAGGAGAGATTTGAGAGTTCCAGTATTATTGTAACATTATATATAATAATCATGAATATAATAAAAAATGAAGAGAAGATATGCAGCTAGACTCATCAAATATTATACCCACAGTGCCTGAGCAGATTTGCAGTGGTCTAAAAAGGCTTGAGTTTAGTCATATCTGATTACATTCAGCTGGAGTCCCCGCAGTGTTGGATCGATTTATGTAGAATGATGGTTTTATTGGGAACATGCCTTTTAGCAAGCTTTCCATTCCAGGCTTACAGAGCCAGCTCAGAAATCTAATTTCTCATTTCAGATTATGATATTGCCTTTCAAGACCATTAGACTTGATTCTTACTGGAGACTCTAATTATTATTTCAAGTGCGCCTGTTGATGTTTTTGATCCAGGCATATATAACTGGTAATGTCTGAACCTGTAAAAGATGGATAGATGCTGGCTTTTTATATAATTGTGAAGTTCTCAGTTAAGGTGGATTTGCCCCTGAAAATAAAAAAAAAAAAAAAAATAAAACCATTACTGATAGTTGTATGCAATTTACCCTCTTCACTCTGCTTAATAGGAGACGTAGACAGGGGCGGATTCAGAGATATTTTCTGACGGTCTTCCAAAGTAACTTTGTTGACCTGTCCTCCATTTTTGACCGTCTTCCAACAGAAAAAAAATCAATACCCGTCAGTGTTAGCTTGAAAATCTGACCGTCTTCTGGAAGACCCAGAAGATGGCCTAATTCCACCCCTGGTAGAAAACGTGAACTTGACTTTGACTAATTCTATTCCAGAAACCCCCAATTCACAGAATATATGTTCCTAGAATTTGCACTGGCTCGTGACAGTAAGTGCCTCATGCATGATGTGTGCAAAGTGTGCACCATATTACATAAATCCATTCTGTTGGTGCAATCAAATTATAATTATATATATTATATACAACATGTGGGTACCATTTATAGCTATTAGAGATAAAAGGGAGAATAGCTCTTCAATATGAGATTCAAAATTCCACAAAAAACACATTGTAAACTACACATAGTAAAATAGTAAATTCCATTTTACTTCAAAAATGGAAGTGATTGTAATTATTCTGAAATCTGTGTTTGCCATCAGACCACTTGGACCTTCTCTCCTTAATAATCTCTGAAGAGACTATTGCAAAAAAAAAAAATCACCTACATGTAACTTTGAATGTTGAAATGGATCCATTATACCATTGGAAAGTATGGGAAAATCATCATTTATCCCAGGAAAATCCATTGTTTTAGCACTTTTATTCCTTCAATATTTATATATTGAGTGGGGAGGTCTCGAGCAAGGGCAATTATTTTCTGGTTATAAGCATTCAAAAAAAAAAAAAGTCCCTAGAATGTATGTGTAGAGAAGATTTGACCACTCAGTTCTACTCTAGTTGTAATTGAAAATAATGGGATTTTACAAATCGGTACATTATTTCTGTTTAAGAGACTGAACATGATGAAAAATGCATTTTATCATGTAGTACATAATGGATTTAATATTGAGCTTTACCAATAAGTAGACATTTAAGTCTGGGGCTGTACTCTCTAAAACATTAGGTTAACCTTGATCCATTCACCTGAGCAGGGCATCCATAGCAAAGGTAAATTATTTTTCCATCTCTCCTCATTTGTAAGAATTTATAGTAGGTGGTGGTTGAAGTTAAGGTAAATTTTCCACTAGCTTTACGCATTAGTCGCAGTATATTACTCTGGAGTGTGCATCCATGAAATATCTTGTTCTTGTGAGGTCTCTAAACTATCCTTTCATCTTTTCTGGAATAATTTATTATTTTTCTCATGGCTCTCCCTCTCTCTTTATATATATATCGCTATCTGTGCATTTGGTTTGAGGAATCTGGATTTATCTGTAGCAGATGTGCTGGCTGCATGGTTTGGTTGTATTTAGATATCTCTGGGGCTGCTGGGATGGTTGTAGGATATCTGCAGCTGTGGATGTGTGATGGAACGACTTTGCAACTTTGAGATAGAGAGATGGAAAGAGAAAGAGAAAAAAGTGCCCGTGTGTTAGAGAGAAAGAGAGAGGGTCAAGGACTTTGTGTGTGTGTGTGTGTGTGTGTGTGTGTGTGTGTGTGTGTGTAAAAGAGAGAGAGAGAGAAAGAGAGAAAAATGGGCTTGTATACATTGTGTTTATGCATGTGTTCATGCATAACATATGAGTGTATGTGTGTGTTAATGTGAGATTGCAGGTATATGTGTGTGCATAAATGTCAGTATATGTATGCAGGTCCGTAGCCAGCAATTTCAGAGGGGGGAGTTCGTTTTCTGAAAAAGTGGACCTTTTACCATAAAATCCTCAAGTACATAGATCAAATTTTACACAGAGTGGACCTTTTCCCAGCAAAAAGGATGGTTCTTTCGAACCCCCCGAACCCCCCCTGGCTACAGGCCTGGTATGTGTGTGCAAATGTTTGTGTGTGCATGTGCAAACTTTAATGACATATATCTAATAAATTGTTCCTTCCCTTAGCCTAAGATATACATGCAATAAAGTGTTTTATCAAAAAATGGACTATATTATAGTCCTAATGTTTCAGGACATCAGCAAAACAATAGCATTTCATCCAGAAGGATGTGACAGGTTGCTGCCTACTGAATAGAGGGCAATCAATAAAGGTATGAAATAATGTTACAAGTGAGAAATTAGAAATTTTAGAAGCGTGTTGTGTGCGTCAGCATTAATCACGGAAGATGGTCGAGCTGGAAATTGCGCTGATGTACACCTGGTGCTTGTGTATATGTGATATCGCTGGAGGCTTTTGTTTTTAATGACTTGGTGTACATGTAGCGTAGGAAGAGAGGGAGGGTCAGAAGTGGGCGCTGCCTATTTTTGAGATGTTAGATCAGGCCCGTAGCCAACGATTTTAAAAGGGGGGTTCTTTTTCTGAAAAAGTGGACCTTTTACCATGAAACCTTCATTTACCTAGATAAAATTTTACCCAGAGGAGACCTTTTCCCAGCAAAAAAAGGAGGGGGGGGGGTCTTTTGACCCCCTCGAACCCACCTGGCTATGGGCCTGCTGATATGCTATATTTTGATGTTATTTTATTTGAGTGCTGAATTATACAAAATTATATTGATGATGTTACAGGTGATCCATACAATCCCTTCAGATACTAGAAAATTTTCATTATTATATTTATTTAAATTCCATGTGGAGTGCAATATTTTTTGGTATAGCAATTTATTATTAGAAACATTGATTTTATGTTGTCTTATGTAGTTTTAAATTATTTGAAATTAAACTTTTTTTTTTGGGGGGGGGGAGTATAAGATCAACTTGATAACAGTACTTAAGTTATCAAATTTAAATCAGTTGATGTAAATGTATTTGTTTTTAGATTACATATATATTATCATTATAAAAGTAGAAACCAGATCCTAATGATTTTTGAACGAGTGTACACAAAATCCAAGAAAAAATTCCAAGATAGAAGATAAATAAACAGATACTGTAGAACAGCAGTAGCTTCATGTTTGGACAAATTACAGGATACCCCACCTTAGGGTGTGTTTAGAGCATTGATCGCCTTCTCACCTGTAGTTGTTAAACTACTGCAGCTGAAGTCTACCTGTGGCCACACCTTTCAGAAACAGCAGGTGAAAGTTAAAACAGAATTCACCTCCAGAATGATGGTTCGCAACCGTAACAGCCTCTGGGTCAGTAGTAGAAATTGGTCAATGTTTGTCTGTTGTAGCCACAGGATACTTCTTATGGTTATTTAAACAGAGCATTTAAATTTTGATTTAAATTGTATAGAACAAATAAATATAGAAAAAAATAATGGCATTTCCCTTTTTTGTCTGTCAGTCTGTTAAAGTAATCTCTCTCTCTCTCTATCTCTTTGTTTCTGTCCAACTGTCTGCCTGCCTGCCTGTTACTCATGCAGTCAGTCACATATTCTACTTTGTGTGGTATACTATTCTGTCCATATCTCTGTCTGTACATCTGCCTTTTATGACAATCTACCCACAATTCTTAAAATGCACCTGACATTACTGGCATATATCTGAAAAAAAAAAAAAAAACGTACCACAAATTGCTACCAGAAATCTGCCAAACAAGTAAAAAGTTTTGACAGATTTAGTGCAAGTAAGATGGTTTCTCGGTACATCACTGCCCATTGTCTGTTCCCATGTTATCCTGTCATTGTCATCAGCTGCCATGATCCTTAACGATTGAACTTGGATATAAAAACTTATATATTAGAACTCATTTCATAACCCATTTGCAAGAGAAAATAATGCACCTCGTGAAATGACCATATTCAATCAAAAGAATTAGTTTCACTAATTTTATTTTGAATTATGTATAAATTGAGAAGTTGAAAGGCAAGAATATAAAACTCAACTATAACCTGGGCTGCACATAAAGATGCTTTGGGAATCACAAAGTGGTTTCAACTTCACTAAATGCCCTAGCTGTACTGAAGAAGTATTTATAACATGTGATCATTATCCTATACCTGACTCATTAATGTTTTTAATTAAGCACACATATCCTGTTGGCCTTACAGGAACCGTACCAATTATTGCAAAATGAAAGGGGGCACTCAACCTCAAGGCAATGCACCAATACTATTACATATTGGTTCTATAGCTCCAAAAAAAGCTGACTTTCTTATCAATCCATGCTGTGAAGTTGGTTTAGCCTGTTGATCCTGTTGATCCTCACCTCAAGACCCATAGCAGTGATGTAATTATAAAGTAACAGCTTCTCTCTTAGAATCCTGACAGGTGAAGTAAGTGTTCTGACAGTTATGTCTCTTCAACAAGTCATGTAA